TGACTCCGCTCCAATATAGAAGCATCAAGAAATATGGACCAATAGGCTTTCTACAAACACTTCTATTCAATATCCATTGTTTCGTGTTCTGTCTTGTGTTGATGAAATTAATACCCTATTAATACCACTTCTTGTTCTGTCTTGTGTTGATGAAATTAATACCCTATTAATACCCTATTGTTCTGTCTTGTGTTAATGCCACATCACCCCTTCCACCTCACTCAAATGTAGATATAAAATCGGAGATGCGTAAGTTCTATTCAGTTGTGTATTTGTGAACTTAAGTCTTTGAAAATGTAATAAGTTTTGCGAAACGCGCTCGTGTCGCGTCACACTAGAAATAAAAATGAATTTTGGAGAATTGATTTTTGATTTACCTCCAACAGTGAAAAGAAATGTACGAAAGATTGAGAAAATTCGTGTTAGAATTATTAATCTTACTTTTTCGGTCATATTTAATAATATATATATATATATATATATATATATATATATATATATATATATATATATATATATATATATATATATATATATATATATATATATATATATATATGTCGTACCTAGTAGCCAGAACTCACTTCTCAGCCTACTATTCAAGGCCCGATTTGCCTAATAAGCCAAGTTTTCCTGAATTATTATATTTTTTCTAATTTTTTTCTTATGAAATGATAAAGCAACCCTTTTCTCTATGTATGAGGTCAATTTTTTTTATTGGAGTTAAAATTAACGTAGATATATGACCGAACCTAACCAACCCTACCTAACCTAACCTAACCTATATTTATAGGTAAGGTTAGGTTAGGTAGCCAAAAAAAGCTAGGTTAGGTTAGGTTAGGTAGGTTAGGTAGACGAAAAAACATTAATTCATGAAAACTTGGCTTATTAGGCAAATCGGGCCTTGAATAGTAGGCTGAGTAGTGCGTTCTGGCTATTAGGTACGACATATATATATATATATATATATATATATATATATATATATATATATATATATATATATATATATATATATATAAGTTGTTGAATATGACCGAAAAGGTAAGATTAATAATTCTAACACGAATCTTCTCAATATTTCTTATGTTTTTCTTCACTGTCGGTGGTAATAAAAATATCAGTTCTCCGAAATTCGTTTTTTAATTGTCTGACTCCTGAACACGTTTCGTAATTCGTATTACATTTTCAAAGACTTAATTTACACACAAATTCTTAGTACTTGTACTCTATAGGATGAGGTGATATGGTACAAAAGTTTTGGGTGAGATGACAAACACAAGACAGAACACGAAACAATGGGTATAAATTGGATAAGTGAACATGTGAATTGAAGTAACTGCAGAAGGCCTATTGGCCCATACTTCCTCTTGCTGCTTCCATATTGGTTCGGGGTCTTGAAGTGGGTAGAATATAGTTGTGCATTAATTGGCTGTTGATTGCTGATGTTGACTTTTTTATGTGTAGTGCCTCGCTGATGTCAAGCCGCCTGCTATCGCTGTACCTATCGATGATTTCTGTGTTATTTGTTAAGATTTCTCTGGTGATGGTCTGGTTGTGAGAAGAGATTATGTGTTCCTTGATGGCTCCCTGTTGCTTATGCATTGTTAGTCGCCTGGAAAGAGACATTGTTGTCTTGCCTATATACTGAGTTCTTTGGGGCTTACAGTCCCCAAGCGGGCATTTAAAGGCATAGACGACGTTGGTCTCTTTCAAAGCGTTCTGCTTGGTATCTGGGGAGTTTTTCATGAGTAGATTGGCCGTTTTTTTGTTTTTGTAGTAAATTGTCAATTGTATTATCTGATTTTTGTCTGTAGGGGATAATGTTCCTATTAACAATATCTTTCAGGGCCTTTTCCTCCGTTTTATGAGCCGTCGAAAAGAAGTTCCTGTAAAATAGTCTAATTGAAGGTACAAGTGTTGTGTTGGTTGACTCTTCAGAGGTTGCATAGCGTTTTACCTTTATTTTTATGATGTCTTCAACGAAACCGTTAGAGAAGCCGTTGTTGACTAGGACTTGCCTTACCCTACAGGATTCTTTATCGACGTCTTTCCATCCTGAGCTGTGGCTGAGAGCACGGTCGACATAAGCGTTAACAACACTCCTCTTGTACCTGTCTGGGCAGTCACTATTGGCATTGAGGCACATTCCTATGTTTGTTTCATTGGTGTAGACTGCAGTATGGAAGCCTCTGTGACTGTTACATCCAGAAAGGGCAGCTTCCCATTATTCTCCATCTCGTATGCGAAACTCAATACAGAAGTCTGCTCAAATGCCTTCTTCAGCTGCTGCAGACATCTGGCATCAGGTACCTGTGTAAAAATGTCATCAACATACCTGCAGTATATGGCGGGTCTCAAGTCCATGTCTACTAAGACCCTCTGCTCGATGGTGCTTATGTAGAAGTTTGCAAACAGGACACCTAGGGGAGAACCCATGGCGACCCCATCTACTTGCTTATACATGTGCCCATCTGGGCTCACGAAGGGTGCCTCTTTAGTGCAGGCTTAGAGTAGTTTCCTCAGTATGCTTTCTGGCATGTCCAGAGGAGTGCAAGACGGGTCAAGATACACTCTGTCTGCTATAATCCCGATTGTCTTGTCCACAGGTACAATGGTAAATAATGACTCCACATCCAACGAGGTTCTTATTCCTGTGGCCTGTGCTCCACGCAGTAAGTCGACAAATTCCTTGGGAGACTTCAAGCTGAAAGCACAGGGTACGTAAGGAGTCAGCAACCCGTTGAGTCGCTTAGCTAGTCTGTATGTAGGTGTGGGTATCTGGCTGATGATTGACATAAGTGGGTTTCAACTTCGATGATTGGCATGCTTGTGATTGGAGTCCGTCTTTCCCCCTGTTGTGAGAATGAACTCCATGGGCCTGGAGTTTACAGGCAGTGCTGGTTACCCTTCAGTAGAGGTTGTTATGTGTGACATGCTCCGTGTCCCTGTGGATGGCATCTACGGTGTTGAGCTTGTAACTACTCACTGTGTTATTATGAAGTTTGTGAGGGAGGAGGACTACCATGAATTCCTCCGACGATACGAGGGGCGTTCCTTGCCGCTGCCGGATAATGCCGGCTCTGTGTCCATTCCGGACTGTAGTGGTGCCCTGACGTATGTCAGTTTGCACGGGGTGCCCTTGGAGTTTCCCAAAGACCTACTCCGGCATTACTTCCAGAGGTTTGGAGCTGTCATCAGCGTGCGGGTGAACACGCTTTCCTCAGGGAGGCATAAGGGTATGCGGACGAACATTCGTACCCTAGGAATGCGCTTGCGGTTGGACATTCCATCTTCAGTCCGGCTTCTGGGGTACTACGTCCGGGTGTACTATGCCTGGCAACCCTGAACATGTTTTAGGTGTGGCCTGTTGAGGCATCAGGTTGCCGGGTGCTATGCGGTCGCTCCCGTGAACCTGTTCCGGGAAGAAGATTTCCCGCAGCTCCCTGTGGAGGTGGACTCCGTGGGTGAGGATCTGGGCGTCCCGTTCGCTGATGCGGTTTCCCCTGCCTTGCCCAGCGCTCCTCCGGATGTTGCTGTGTCGTCGGATGGTCTTCCTGCTCCTGTAGCTGTTCTAGCTGCTCTCATGGATCTTCTGGGCGATCTCTGCAAGTCGTCGGTGTCCTCATCTTCCTCGTTTCATGCTGCTGCGCCTTGTGCTGGGTGCGGCCTGGTTCCCCCAGTGGTGTACGCTGCTGCCATTCTGCGTCGAGCGTCGGTTCGCCCAGTTTGTGTTGCCCGTGTTTCTGGGTCCGCCTCCAGCTCTGACGATATACAGCCAGAGCCCAAACGTTCCCAACGTTCGTCCTCTTCCTGGGCGGATGTGGGTGACTTCAGTGACGATGAGTCTTCGGGTGTCAACAAGGTGGTTCTGCGGCTGAGTGCGTCGCACTCTGCGCAGTTGGAGGTTGCGGAGGTCTATGTGCCTGCTGATGCTGGTGCCCGTGTCTCTAATATGCCTCCTGTTTTTTCTCCACCAGGAGGCTCTCCTCAGTGGGGGTGGTGGCTTCACATGCCGTGGATGGTGCAGATGCTGCTATGGGCCATGGCCTGGTGGTGAAATTAAAGAAGGATGCTCCCCGAAGAGGTCCTTGTCGGTGCCTGGTTGTGTGGACGTTGCCGCGGGGGTCCCTGTGGTATTGCCCTCTGCCACGTTGTCTCCCATGAGGACGTCCATGGGGGTCCTGGAGGGTGTGTTGGCAGCGTCTGAGATGCTGCTGGGTCACTGGCGTCAGATTGTCCTGATTCCATTGTCTGAACACGAGGCGGCCTTTGGTGCTCCAAGGCTTTCCGTCGTATGGGGGCGCGTGGCGTCCACTCGCATAGTCTGTGATACCTTTTGGGTCCCCTGTTTGAGGGTATTCGTTTCCGAGGTTCCAGATCCAATGGTTTCCCCGGTGGATAAAAACCATGCTGTGGAGTGGTTGATCTCGGAGGCGTTCAGTGTGACATTCCTGAGGGACCAGTTTCCGGAAAAGTACGTGCATTGATGTACTATCTATGTGCTGGTTTGTGTGGTGTTCAGTGCCCCTTTGGCTGCTTGCTTGTCCCTGTATGGTTTTGGTAAATTTGTTATGTATTGTTATTTGTTATTTTCTCCTTGTTACTGTGTTTCATATGTTTGTTTCTAGTTACATGTTCTTTGTTTCATGTGTTTTATTGTCCTTATGTGTTAGTGCCTCTCCATTTGTTCATTAAGAGGCTGGTGGATTTGTTATGCTTTGTCCTTTTCCGGTGCTTAGGTTGTTGGGTTGGGGTTTTGGGTGTTTTTGTAATGTACTTTTGTATTGTATTTTTGTATTGTAGTGTTGGATTGTGCTTTGTGTTCTTGTATTGTTGTATACTGTGTATGTCATGCGATGTGCTTGTCATTTCTGTTGTGTCTTGTTGTCGGCTCTTCCGGCCGGTGATTTTGTCCTTTGTTATGTTTAGTTTTGTTTTTATTGTACTTATGCGCATGCGTACATGCAAAAATAAACATAAAAAAATTCCTTCCTCACCTGAGCGTTGATGGCGGGGTCAAGGATGACGATGAAGTGCACTCCACCTGCCTGGAGGTCCTCCACGTACCCGGGGAGGTCACCGAAGTTCCTCTGGTCGAGTGTGAAGTCCATCCGGCGGTCCATGATGTCTATATCCCCGTACTGTACGTCCTGGTGGCATGGGTAAGGGTTGGGCAGGAGACGTTCAGGATTGGGAATGGGGTGGGAGGAGACGTGAAAGAAGGAAGAAGAAGAGATAAACGAGGGAGAAAGAGAGAGAGGAGGGAGGAAGATAGGTAGGAGAAGCTATAAAGAGAGAAGGGAGAGTTTGGAACAGGGAGTGAGATGGTGAGTGGTAGAAAGGGGAAGGAAGAGACGAAGATACGGAAAGGAGCAACAGCTGGGAAGGAAGCAAGGAACGATGGAGGGATAGTGAGTAGTGAGGAAATTGGGAGATCAATGTATTCACCTATTTGCGCTGGCGGGGGTTGAGCTCTGCTCTTTCGGCCCGCCTCTCAACTGTCAATCAATCAATTGTTACTAACTACTAACTAACCTTTTTTTTTTTTAAACACACCCCCACCCCAGAAAGCCACCTGTAACAGGTACTCCCAGGTAACTCCCATAACGTAAATAACTCCCAGGTGCCTATTTACTGTCAAGTAACAGGGGCATGAAGGCGAAAGAAACTCTGCCCATTTTGTTTCTCGCCGGCGCCGGGAATCGAACCCCAATCCACAGGATTAAGTGCCCAGAGTGCTGTCCAGTCAACCACTATCGCGCCTCTGTCGAGTGATGAGAGAGGTAAGAGGCAAGAATGGTAGTAAGTAGTGGAAAGATTGGATGAGAGAGTGTCGCCAGGGGGAGAGTGTGTGTCGCCGGGGGAGAGAGTTTATAAAAATACAGTCTTCCCAGTCTTCCTTTTCATGTTAGTAACTTTGTCATAAATCTCACTCAGGTTTGCCAGACACGATTTTCCATTTCTAAATTAATGTTAATTTTTTGTCACAAAGTGCAACCTCTCAAGCTGCTCCTCCATTCTCGACCTGATTACTTTCTCCAGCACTCTACAAGGAACACTTGTCAGTGACACCAGTCTGTAGTTCAGTGCCTCCTTTCTATTCCCCGTTTTGAATATTGGGACTGCGTGTGCTTTTCCCCAGACATCTGGGAGACTTCCGTCTCAAGGGTCTTATTAAAAATATTAGAGAGCGGGTGACTGAGTACTTCTGCAGGCTCCTTCAGCAGCCAGGGTGAGATTAGGTCTGGCTCCATTGATTTTGTCACGTCCAGAGTCCCCGGGAATTTGTCACCTCATGCTCAGTGACTACAGTGCCACCCAGTATGTCTTCTGACTTTTCATCTTGGTCTCTACACTGATTCAAATGAGAAGACCTCCTGAAATCTTTCATTGTGTTTCTCGCATACTTCCTTATCATTGTCTGTGACGGGTCCCCCTGGTTTCACTAATCTGAGGTTATGGTCTCTTACTGTCGTTTATCTCGTTAAATGGCCATAAAACAGCTTTGGTTGTTCCTTATATTTTGCAGCAATGTCATTTTCAAATTGTCTCTCGTCTTCTTTTTAAATTCAGGTGTATTCATTCCTTGTTGTCTTTAGGGCCTCTCTATTGTTTGGTTCCCATTTCTCTTTACTTTTTCAAGTTTTTGTTCCCTTTGTTTAGCGTCCCTGCATCACATATTGAACCACAGGTTTACTTTATTCATCGACCTCCTTCTTGAGTGTTATGAACTGTTCCGTTGCCTAGACACATTTCCGATATTAGCAATTTCATCTGCATTTATATACGTGACTTTGATGCTACTCATAACGATTGTTTGTCATGAGTAGTTTTTATTTTCCCCGAGGAGTTCATGTAGCTCTCTTTCCATAATTGTTAGGGGGTAAGGGGGATATGGAGGACCGATAACTCTTGCCTTTTAGTTTGTGTAGATGTCTCGCTAGCCTGGGCAGCTCTGTTATCTCCCTCTGTAATACTCTGTTTCATTGGTAACCTGGTATGCCCCAGTATTTCCCCGGTGTTTTACTCGCTGTTGTCAGATGTGCATTGTCCCATGCTCTGTGTGTGATATTTTCTAGTCTCCTTCCATTTCTAATTTGCTTTTCTTCTCTGATTCTCTTGTCTCTCTCTCTCTCTTTCCTCCTTAGGCATGTCCTGTCCTTAAATAATGCATGGTACTTTTCCTCATTTCTTTAATATTTCTACTCTGCCATTATATTCTTGAATGGGGTGTTGTTGTTCATAAAAATATCTTTCACTGGTCGGTATCTACCACTCTGAATCCTACCTAGCCTGCTGAAATGATCCAGTTCCCTTGTCGCATTTCCAGCCTGAATTTTGTGAAGAATTTAAGTTATTTCATACTGCTCTCGCTCTCTCGCTCTCTCTCTCTCTCTCTCTCTCTCTCTCTCTCTCTCTCTCTCTCTCTCTCTCTCTCTCTCTCTCTCTCTCTCTCTCTCTCTCTCTCTCTCTCTCTGTCTCTCTCTGTCTCTCTATCTCTCTCTCTCTCTCTCTCTCTCTCTCTCTCTCTCTCTCTCTCTCTCTCTCTCTCTCTCTCTCTCTCTCTCTCTCTCTCTCTCTCTCTCTCTCTCTCTCTCTCTCTCTCTCTCTCTCTCTCATTACCTATTTGCCATGTGTGGCCCTCAGGCTCTGGTAGGTTGTATATCACAACAGATCTCTCCCTCTCCAACTCCTGGCTTGTACACTTCATATCTTGGGTAGTTCTTAGTCTCTAGTATTATTTGCTTAATTATCTTCTCTCCCTCTTAACCGTTTGCTGCCACAACAAAGGTTTTGTCTGGGTTTACTCTCCAAATCTCAGTTACATTCTCTATTTGTTTAATTCTTTCCTCAATGTCGCCGGGGGAGAGTGGTGCATTGGGAGATAGGGAGTCCTCGGGATAAAGGGTGTAGCAGGGAGAGGGTCTGGCCGGGGAAGAGGGTGTGGCCGGGGAGAGAGTGTGGCCGGGGGAGAGGGTGTGGCAGGGAGAGGGTGTGGCAGGGAGAGGGTGTGGCAGGGAGAGGGTGTGGCCGGGGAGAGAGTGTGGCCAGGGGAGAGGGTGTGGCCAGGGGAGAGAGTGTGCCCGGGGGAGTGGGTGTGGGGAGGGGTGGGCCCGGGGAAGAGGGTGTGACAGGGAGGGGGTGGGCCGGGGGAGAGGGTGTGGCCAGGGAGAGGGTGTGCCCGGGGAAGAGGGTGTGACAGGGAGGGGGTGGGCCCGGGGAAGAGGGTGTGACAGGGAGGGGGTGGGCCCGGGGAAGAGGGTGTGGCAGGGAGGGGGTGGGCCCGGGGAAGAGGGTGTGACAGGGAGGGGGTGGGACAGGGGAAGAGGGTGGGACAGGGAGAGGGTGGGACAGGGGAAGAGGGTGTGGCCCCTGGAACAATAACAAAGGTGATACCAGCCTTCTGATGCAGTCATCTATGTGTGTGACTGTAGAAAAGATCACTGCTTTTAGGGTCACATGGTGAGGTACACCTGGGGGGGGCGAGTGTGGCACACTTGAGTACGACACATTGTATACGCTTGAGTTAACACCTTTCCTTTGGCTGCACCCTCACCACCACACAGCCGCCGGCCTTAACAACCGTACTTCAGAAGGCGTGGTTAATGCCTCAGGAGTTCAGTCCCTCTTCGACTGGCTCCAGGCCGCCAACTGGAAGTTTGGATAACTTACCTGTGGGATTCCAGCCTCCTTCGTCCTGTTGACCGCCTCCTGCATCTCCTCCAGGGACGCGTATCCGTACCTGCAATGATGATTGGTTGGTACAGATGTAGTGAGGTGTTAAGGCGCCTTCACACTGTCAAGATTTACCTGAATTTACCTGAGGGCCATTATATCTCTAGTGGCCTCGACGGGGGACAGGAAGCCGTCGAATTTTCAAAGGTATTTGCCCTGAGCTCGATTTTGACATTCATCAGTGTTTTGCTGTATTGGCGGGTAGGCGGTTCCATGGGTTTATAACCCTATGGGCGAAAAGCGTCTTCTGGTTTCTGACCTACATTGTGGGTGTTGAGCTGGAGACTCCAGGTTCGTGTTTCATCTGGCGTTTTGAGGAAGTTATCTGGATCAACATCCTCCAAATTGTTCAACATTTTAAAACCTTCGATAAGACCCGTCCGGGTTGCAGTGTTGTTAGCCTCGTGGCTCTCAACCGTGCCTGGTATAAGAGTTGACTCAGTACAGGGAACTAAGTCAACATCACCCGGTATTCAGCTTTCTCCAGAGCAGATGCCTTTCTGAAGAAGATATGAGGAGGTCTCCATGCATGGATACAATAATACAAGTGGGGACACATCAGAGATTTATACAGCTGTATGAATATCTTCTTTTCCTTTGAACTTGAAATTTAGTTTCACTGTTCCTAGGATTTGGTTTCCTGTTACAGTATTTTTATTTTTTTTTAGTGCTACGTACTGAACTTGCTCTTGAGCAACTTCAGTGATTGGTGGAGTCTAACTCCAAGATCCTTTTCTTTATCAATCTGCTGCAAAGTAATGTTGTTGATGTGATGCATGTGATGCACATTGCACAGATCTTGCTTGGCCCACATTCAAAATCTTGCATTGTCCGGTATTAAAAAGCATTTGCCAGTCTTCCGACCACTTGTGGAGTTCATGTAGATCTCTATGATCCAAAGAGGAATCATCACTTTCCTACCATATACTCAGGAGCTCACACGCCACCTTCCTGCCTCTACACTCAGCTCACACGCCACCTTCCTGCCTCTACACTCAGCTCACACGCCACCTTCCTGCCTCTACACTCAGCTCACACGCCACCTTCCTGCCTCTACACTCAGCTCACACGCCACCTTCCTGCCTCTACACTCAGCTCACACGCCACCTTCCTGCCTCTACACTCAGCTCACACGTCACCTTCCTGCCTCTACACTCAGCTCACACGCCACCTTCCTGCCTCTACACTCAGCTCACACACCACCTTCCTGCCTCTACACTCAGCTCACACGCCACCTTCCTGCCTCTACACTCAGCTCACACGCCACCTTCTGCCTCTACACTCAGCTCACACGCCACCTTCCTGCCTCTACACTCAGCTCACACGTCACCTTCCTGCCTCTACACTCAGCTCACACGCCACCTTCCTGCCTCTACACTCAGCTCACACGCCACCTTCCTGCCTCTACACTCAGCTCACACGCCACCTTCCTGCCTCTACACTCAGCTCACACGCCACCTTCCTGCCTCTACACTCAGCTCACACGCCACCTTCCTGCCTCTACACTCAGCTCACACGTCACCTTCCTGCCTCTACACTCAGCTCACACGCCACCTTTCTGCCTCTACACTCAGCTCACACACCACCTTCCTGCCTCTACACTCAGCTCACACGCCACCTTCCTGCCTCTATACTCAGCTCACACGTCACCTTCCTGCCTCTATACTCAGGAGCTCACACGTCACCTTCCTGCCTCTACACTCAGCTCACACACCACCTTCCTGCCTCTACACTCAGCTCACACGCCACCTTCCTGCCTCTACACTCAGCTCACACGCCACCTTCCTGCCTCTACACTCAGCTCACACGTCACCTTCCTGCCTCTATACTCAGGAGCTCACACGTCACCTTCCTGCCTCTATACTCAGGAGCTCACACGTCACCTTCCTGCCTCTATACTCAGCTCACACGCCACCTTCCTGCCTCTATACTCAGGAGCTCACACGTCACCTTCCTGCCTCTATACTCAGCTCACACGTCACCTTCCTGCCTCTACACTCAGCTCACACGCCACCTTCCTGCCTCTATACTCAGGAGCTCACACGTCACCTTCCTGCCTCTATACTCAGGAGCTCACACGTCACCTTTCTGCCTCTATACTCAGCTCACACGTCACCTTTCTGCCTCTATACTCAGCTCACACGTCACCTTCCTGCCTCTACACTCAGCTCACACGTCACCTTCCTGCCTCTACACTCAGCTCACACGTCACCATCCTGCCTCAACACTCAGCTCACACGTCACCTTCCTGCCTCTACACTCAGCTCACACGTCACCTTCCTGCCTCTACACTCAGCTCACACGTCACCTTCCTGCCTCTACACTCAGCTCACACGTCACCTTCCTGCCTCTACACTCAGCTCACACGTCACCTTCCTGCCTCTATACTCAGCTCACACGCCACCTTCCTGCCTCTATACTCAGGAGCTCACACGTCACCTTCCTGCCTCTATACTCAGGAGCTCACACGCCACCTTCCTGCCTCTATAATCAGGAGCTGTATTTCAGCTATTTTTATATGTTCATGCCCGTGCCACCACTTGGGTGGCTTAACCATCATCAATCATCAATCTTCAGCTATTTGACTTTTGATAGTATGTGTTGATTCAATACACACGAAGGCCCCCCAAGTCCATTCTGGTTTTTCAATTTTGTCGTTCGTGTTTACATATTTTCACATTATTCCTCACATGTTATTTTCTTCGGCATTAACACACACACACACACACACACACACACACACACACACACACAACACACACATTTATGAAAAACAAAGAGTTATCGTCACATCCGGCCTCTATGAAGAGTGTTGCCAGCTGTAATGAAACACTGTCATCTTAGCATAACCCATCACCCTCTTCTCTAGCTATTAATTTTAATATGCTTTTGATTAATAATTAATCACTATTCTATTAAAAATATAAAATAAAACAAATGCAAAAAAAAAATCCTGAATTATGATAACACCTCTCCCAATTTCACAGACTTATTTCAAACCAGTTACATTAAAAGGTCCTTCACATAATATTAAATATTCGAGGAAATCAGATTAACCAGGGATTGCTTCGAGCTTCTACCCTATACCTTTCCAGGCTTCCTTTAGCAAGTCACTAAATACGGAGAGAAATTGCCTTCCTTTACTGCAGGTAAACGTGTGGGTGAGGAGAGTAAATCTTTTAATATGTCGCAGATTCTTCAACATATTATATAAGACTCTCGACATTTTTCCCCACCCGACGACAAGGCCAAGGGAGGCGGGCTTTGACTTTGAAGCTGCTTACTTATGAAAGAGGCTTCAGCACTGCAAAGCCGTTCATAAAGAACTTTCATCCCACCTGAGGCTTTCATACGTTACTCTCATCCCTCGAGAGGCGTTCATAAAGAACTCTCATTCCACCATTAGCGCTCATGAAGAACATTCATCTCTATGGAGGCGCTCTCTAATTCGTCTCATTCCTTAAGAGGCGTTCATTGAGCTCTAATCCCTCTAAAGTCGTTCATAAGGAACTCCCATGCTTCCAGAGGCGTTCATTAAGAACTCCGACCACTATAGACAGGTTTTTATAAATTATCATCCTAACAGAGGAGTTGATTAACTTCATCCCTACAGAAGTGTTCATTAATAACTCTCCTTCTTCCAGATGCGTTCATTAAAAACTCTCCTCCCTCCAGATGCGTTCATTAAAAACTCTCCTCCCTCCAGATGCGTTCATTAAAAACTCTCCTCCCTCCAGATGCGTTCATTAAAAACTCTCCTCCCTCCAGATGCGTTCATTAAAAACTCTCCTCCCTCCAGATGCGTTCATTAAAAACTCTCCTCCCTCCAGATGCGTTCATTAAAAAAACTCTCCTCCCTCCAGATGCGTTCATTAAAAACTCTCCTCCCTCCAGATGCGTTCATTAAAAACTCTCCTCCCTCCAGATGCGTTCATTAAAAACTCTCCTCCCTCCAGATGCGTTCATTAAAAACTCTCCTCCCTCCAGATGCGTTCATTAAAAACTCTCCTCCCTCCAGATGCGTTCATTAAAAACTCTCCTCCCTCCAGAGGTTTTCCATACACAGCGGTAAATACGAATGGTTGCAGAGTAGAGAGGAGAGAGACGGACCTGCAGAGCTGGAAGCCGAGGGCCCAGTAGGGCGGGATGGCCGGGCGCTGGAGCAGGCTGGTGTACTGCGCCACTACGGTCTCCGGCTCCGGCCCCAGCATGAAGTACAGGTCCAGGACCCCGCCGATGGTCCGGAAGGTTATGGCAGGGTACTCCAGAAGCTGGTAGTCTGGAGGAGGAGGAGGAGGTGGTAAGGGAAACTTCTCCTAAGACAAAGTAACAACACTCACAAATGTATTGATATTTTTACATATGAAAATGACTTTTCGATATGCATTTGTTATATTTGAAGTTTAACAGTGAATGTATATACTTAGAGGCACGTAAGAAATGAGGAATATATGCCTGCGCGACTGATGAATATATATGCCATTAGAGACTGACTGATGATGTCTTGGAAAACATGAACACGCTGAGACGTGTTCATGTTTGTATGTATATGTATGTGTATTTCCTATTTTTTGCCTGCAAGAACGAGCTGTTAGCTCATGGATTCGTGTGTGTGTGTGTGTGTGTGTGTGTGTGTGTGTGTGTGTGTGTGTGTGTGTGTGTGTGTGTGTCTGTGTGTGTGTACTCACCTATTTGTGTCTGCAGGATCGAGCTCTAACTCTTTGATCCCGCCTTTCGAGCATCGGTTGTTTACAGCAATGATTATGGTTCTATTTCCCTATCATACCTAGTTTTAAAATTATGAATAGCATTTGCTTCCACAACCTGTTCCTTAAGTGCATTCCATTTTTCCACTACTCTCACGCTAAAAGAAAACTTCCTAACATCCCTGTACTCATCTGAGTTTCCAGCTTCCACCCATGTCCCCTAGTCATGTCCCCTAGTTCTGTTAATATTCCGTGTGAACATTTCATCTATGTCCACTCTGTCAATCCCCCTGAGTATTTTATGCATTCCTATCATGTCCCCCCTCTCCCTTCTTCTTTCTAGTGTCGTAAGGCATAGTTCCTTCAGGCGCTCCTCATACCCCATCCCTCGTAACTCTGGGGCGAGTCTCGTTGCAAACCTCTGAACCTTTTCCAGTTTCCTTATATGCTTCTTCAGGTGGGGACTCCATGATGAGGCGGCATACTCTAAGACTGGCCTCACGTAGGCAGTGTAAAGCGTCCTAAATGCCTCCTTACTTAGGTTTCTGAATGATGTTCTAACTTTTGCCAGTGTAGAGTATGCTGCTGTCGTTGTCCTATTTATATGTTCTTCAGGAGATAGATTAGGTGTTACGTCCACGCCCAGATCTCTTTCGCGCGTCGTCACAGGTAGGCAGTTCCCCTTAATTGTGTACTGTTCCTTTGGTCTCCTATTACCTAGTCCCATTTCCATAACCTTACATTTGCTCGTGTTGAACTCCAGTAGCCATTTCTCTGACCGTCTCTGCAACCTGTTCAGGTCATCTCGGTGGATCCTGCAACCATCATCTGTCACAACTCTTCTCATCAACTTTGCGTCATCCGCGAACATCGACATGTAGGACTCTACTTCTGTAAACATATCGTTAACATATATTAGAAATAGAATTGGTCCCAGCACCGATCCTTGTGGTACTCCACTTGTTACTGTTTGCCAGTCCGACTTCTCGCCCCTTACCGTAACTCTTTGGCTCCTTCCTGTTAGGTAGTTCCTTATCCATGCTAGGACGTTTTACCCCACCCCCGCCTGCCTCTCGAGCTTGAACAGCAGTCACATGTGCGGTACTGTATCAAAGGCTTTTTGGGAATCCAGAAATAGGCAGTCTGCCCAACCATCTCTGCCCTGTCTTATCCTCGTTATTTTATCATAGAATTCCAGAAGGTTTGTTAGACACGATTTCCCTTGTGCCTTCCTTCACATGTTTTGTAAGGAAATTCCTGTCTATAACATCTACTAACTTTGCTCCCCACGTTTCGTCCCCTCCATGGGGATTCCTTGATTCCCAATTTCTCTCTCCATGATTTAGGTCCCCCATGACCAGCAGCTTTGCTCTCATTCTGTGAGCAAATGTTGCTGCCTTCTGCAGTTCATCTATGCATGCCTTGTTGTTGTCATCATACTCCTGTGTGTGTGTATGTGTGTGGATGTGTGTGTGTGTGTGTGTGTGTGTGTGTGGTTGCATCTGTGCTTAACCTTTATATATATATATATATATATATATATATATATATATATATATATATATATATATATATATATATATATATATATATATATATATGCAATTGACGATCACAAAACACTGATCATATTATGCAAAAAAAGGAATTTCCGCAGGAATATTATATATATATATACCATATATATATATATATATATATATATATATATATATATATATATATATATATATATATATATATATATATATATATATATATATATATATAACTCACACCCCAGAAGTGACTCGAACCCATACTGCCAGGAGCAATGCAGCTGGTATGTACAGGACACCTTAATCCACTCTACCATCACGACCGGACAAAAACTGATGGTAGCAGAGGCTATTAGTCCATCATATACTATATGCATATGACTATAAACCCGCATGACGTCCTCAGCGGCCAACTCACCCATGGCGTTGCTGTTGAGGAGGAGGACGCCGTGCGCGCGTCCGTCGTTCTCCAGGCACTGGTAGTACGGCTGCGCCCCGTACAGGTTCACCTCCCGCTCCACCTGCGGGAGTACCCCACACACACCATCACACGGGAGACACACACACTTGTATTTATGTACACTCAAGCGACTAAATGGAGGAATGAACGGTGTTCAATGGGTAAGAACTGTGCTCCTAACTGGTGAAGAACAATGATCCACTACAAGTGAGTGTGGACCCAACCACTTAGACTAGGCTTTAAACTTGCGAAGTTGGTGTTGAAGCTCAGATATTACAAGTGCTAAAGAGCCGTTCCTTCATCATTCCGGATTTATCCAAGCTCATTGTTCTCATAAGCTTTTTAATTGCTAATTACTTCATAATTATTTACTTTATGTTGACCCTAATACTTAAGGAAGGAAGACTTTGTGAACCACAATAGCCTCATGACCTAGATTCTACCTGTGGTGAGTGTTACTCCCCATCCGGCCCTGATGTTATGTAAGCCTGAAAGTATAGTACAGTCTGTAGTGTAAACCTGAAGGTATAGTACAGTCTGTAGTGTAAACCTGGAAGTATAGTACAGTCTGTAGTGTAAACCTGGAGGTATAGTACGGTTTGTAGTGTAAACCTGGAGGTATAGTACAGTCTGTAGTGTAAACCTGGAGGTATAGTACAGTCTGCAGTGTAAACCTGGAGGAATACTACAGTCTAGTGTAAACCTGGAGGAATAAGTAAGTAATTATCAAAAGAAGGCACCAAACCGGGAAGGCTATGTAGCACCATCAAATGCGCAAAATAATCAGAGGGCGCTAAATATCACCAAGGATGCCAATACGAGAACGAAAACGCATAAGGCGAACGATATCAAAAGTATCAGTCACCAAGAATTCTATTGAGGGACAGGTGACCGCGAGGGGCGGTCGGAAAGCAAGACACACGCTCGTCCTGGAAGTCAGGACATTCAAGAAGGACATGCACGACCGTAAGAGGGACAATGCAACTAGGACAATAAGGAGCAGGGCGGTGCTCCATCAAGTGACCATGGGTTAAGCGAGTATGGCCAATACGCAACCTCGCCAGAGCTGATTCCCATCGCCGGTTCTGGTGGAAGGAGGACGGCCATGAGGAAACACAACATTTAAGAGTACGTAGTTTGTTACCAGTAACAGACAACCAAGAAGCCTGCCAACGGGTAAGGACGGAGGAATGGATAACCGGGTAAAAGTCGGAATATGGAATACCTTTACGAGAGATGGGACAAGAGCGGACAGCTTCCTTGGCGGCAGCATCCGCACGCTCATTTAAAGACACACCAATATGGCTGGGAACCCAACAAAACTCAACCGACTTAAATTTACTGTGAACAAGAAACAGCCAATGCTGGATCTCGACAAATACTGGATGAACCGGATTAAAGGACCCGAAAGCCATGAGGGCACTACGAGAGTCAACAACAACTACAAAGGAAGACTGTCAACGAGAAAGCAGGAGACGAAGAGCATAGAGAATAGCATAAAGCTCCGCTGTAAAGATGCTAGTCTCCAGAGGTAAGCGACACATATAAGTGCGATCAGGAAAAACAACAGAGTAGCCAACACCGTCCGCAGACTTAGACCCATCGGTGAAGACAGAAACGGAGCAGGAGTGAGAAGAAAAGTGATCAAGGAAAAGGCATTTTAGAACCGAAGGAGGGGTAAAAGTTAAAGCACGATAGAGGCGAGAGGAAGGATGTTGTAAGGACCGCGCAAGATAGCGAAGACAGTAGCGATCACGGCGGTCTTGGAGAGACAGGAAGCCAGTGTCAATATACAAGCTAAGGACGGGAGTCGAACGAAAGGCACCAGAACTGAGGCGCAACCCAGTATGGTGCAAAGCATCAAGACGGCGAAGAGTAGAAGGAGAAGCAGATGAGTAAGCAGGGCAACCATAATCGAGCTTAGACAGGATGAGAGAGGAATGTAAAGCAAGGAGAGTGCGCCTATCTGCCCCCCAAGAAGTATGGGACAAGACCCGAAGGAGGGTAAGGGCCTTAGAGCATTCAACACGGAGGTAAGAGATATGGGGAGACCAAGACAAACGAGTGTCAAGGAATAACCCCAAAAGCTTCGCGGAATCTTTGTACTCAAGGGGATGACCATAAAGTGACAAAGAGGGACGAAGAACGACCCGTTTCCGCATAAAAGTAATGGCACAAGTCTTAGAAGTAGAGAACTTGAAGCCATGATCGGTGGCCCAAGACGACACGGCATCAATTGCAAGTTGAAGCCGGCGCTGAAGGAGAGGCGAATCATCACCCTGACAGCAAAGGGTAAGATCATCGACATAGAGAGCGGAGAAGACACCTGAAGGAAGAGAGGAAAGAAGACCATTGAGGGCAACCAGAAAAAGAGTAGTGCTCAGAACACTACCCTAGGGCACACCTTCGTATTCCTGAAAAGAGGCAGAGAGAGCGGTACCAAGGCGCACCTGAAAGGAACGACGAGAGAGGAAGCTGCGGAGAAAGAGAGGGAGATGACCACGAAGGCCAAAAGAATGAAGTTGAGATAGAATATGATATCGCCAAGTGGTGTCGTAAGCCTTTTCCAGGTCAAAAAGGACGGCAACAGCGGAGGTCTTCGCAGCAAAAGCAGTACGAATATAGACCTCCAAGTTCACCAGGACATCTGTCGTGCTGCGGCACTTGCGGAAACCAAATTGTGAAGGGAAGAGGAGGTGATGGTGTTCCAGGAACCACATCAGACGAACGTTAACCATTCGTTCAAAGAGTTTGCAGACACAACTTGTGAGGGCAATAGGGCGAAAGTCCGTAGCGGAAGTACCCAGAGACCCCGGTTTGCAAACAGGGAGGACAACGGCATCGAGCCAGTCCTCAGGGACTGACGACGACTCCCAGAACCTGGAGGAATAGTACAGTCTGTAGTGTAAACCTGGAGGAATAGTACAGTCTGAAGTGTAAACCGGGAGGTTTATACTACAGGCCGATTGTATTCTGTGATTGGTGAAGACGTCACTTGTTAGTGTGGGGTTGAAGAGATCACATGCTACTCGTTGCTACTTCACGTTAAAGGTATAGTTCTACCTATCTTGGTCAAGTGAAGGAATCAGCCTTAATTCAGTGGAGCCAGGAGTGACATTCTGAAGCCAGGGAGGTGTTGTACCCAGATTATTGTGTAAAATTTAGTTAGTAGTCTCAATGTACTGGCAGCAGAATCAATTTATTGAGCGTGTGGAGTAGTTTTACGACTGTGGCGAATGGATTGGAGGCGGTTGGCACCTCCTGTATGTTGGATGTCTAAGAGGGTCACCAGTCCTCAGTGGGCGGGGTGGCTGCCCTCGGGCGGCGTTTCAGACAAGTGACCAGATGTGACATTTTGGGAGGTCTTGGATAGGGTTTGTGGGTGTGGGAAGCACAGGACATGGGTGACTGGAAGGGATTTGGGGAAGTTGAATAAATACTGCCACAAGCAAGTGGCAGGGGTTTCAGTGCTGTCCGGACAACGAGGCAAGGTGAGCTATGGTGAGCTTAGCCAGCGTAGCTGAGATGGCGTGGCATGTCCAAGCTGGTTGCTACTCATACCCGCACCCACCAAGTTTGGTCTGTGGGGAAGTTGGAAGTGGTTCGTGAGTATCATGTGTGAGTATATGAGGTGCTAACATTGGCTGGTAATTTGAGAGGGAGTTAAGGAAAGCCTCCAGAGATTCGAGATATGGTAATTTGGATTAGGATTGAACGAGCGGATGCTGGGATACATAATTTAAATATATAGATATACGGATAGCTTTCTTTAGTTAACCTTTGTGTTCATGCTAATGCGGTGGCCTCTTTGTAGGAGGACTGGTACATGCTATTGACAATATTGATATAATGGTTCATTTGTGACATATTGAAATACATCTTGTATACTTATTTACAACAGAGGGTGAATGAATTCTGGCGTCCAGCATAGCACCTACAAGTGGTTTTGTTGGTCCTGTGTAAGGACAGTGTGACAGGTGAGCCAAGGTTGGTGCCAGTGTCTGGCCCCCCACACGCAAGTCAGGAAGGGAAGACAGTGGCAGTTGAAAAAGAACTCGTGGATAACCTGGAACGAAGGTAAACCCCAGGCACCATCTTTATTTCAGGAGACAGGCGTCATCACACCATGAGTTTCGTGGTAAGAATTTTTCAGTTGCCACAGTTTGTCATGCTCAGTGATGACAATTGCTCAGTGATTTATAGGGATTCTCATTGACATTAAAGAATCATGTTTATGGTGAATATGAAGTAATATTTGGGAATTGAGAGATGATAGCATGATGGAGGCGAGAGCGGCGGATGCTCGCTCGTTGACGGTTGGTGAACAGCTGACAAGGTAAAGGGCAGATCTGTGGCTTCACCCACTACTGGGGAGTCCACTTGACACTGCAGGGATTGTCAGATACCGCCGGCAGGGGTGAGTAGGGAGTTTTGAAAAGTAATTAATTATCAAAAGAAGGCGCCAAGCTGGGAAGGCTATGTAGCACCATCAAAATTTCAGGATATTCAATTTTTGTTTTTCTACCACAGACGTGGCCACACATTTACAATGCTAACCAAAAGCTAGATATCACTAACGATGCCAATACGAGAGCAAAAGTGCATAAGGCAAGGGATATTAAAGGTTTCTGATTCACCAAGAATTCTGTCGAGGGCAAGTAACAGCGAGGGACGGTCGGGAAGCAAGACACACGCACGTCCTGGAAGTCAGGACATTCAACAAGGGCAGCGCTCCATGAAGTGCCCGTGAGTTAAACGTCTATGGCCAATATAAAACCTCGCCAGAGCCATTTCCAACCGCCGGTTATGGTGGTAGGATCATTATGTTGTGTTAACCGGCCATAGGGACACGCTACCTTTAAGAGCAGGCAGTTTGTTACCAGTAATAAAAGACCAACGATCCTGCAAATGGGCACGGATTGAGGAAAGAATGACTTGATTGAAGTTGGAATAAGGATCACCTTTGTGGGAAACAGGACAAATACAGATAGCCTATTTAGCGGCAGCATCCGCACACTCACTTGAGGAAACCCCAATATAACAGGGGGAACTCAGCAAAAC